ATCAATATAACTCCCAGACTAAAAGAGGAAAGCCATATGATTATCTCACTAGTTGTAGAAAAAAACATATGATTAGATATCCATTTATGATTATGATTGAAAAAAGAAACAACTACAAACTGGTACTATAAGTTAGCTTTCTCAACCTAATAGAGGGAATTTATGAAAAACCTACAGCTAAGGGTAAGTCTGGGAACAAGGTAAAGATGTCTGCTCTTACCACTTTTATTCAACATTTTACTGTAGGTCCTAGCCAGTGCGGGCGGTAAGGTAAGGAAAAGAAACAAAAGACATGCAGATTGGAAAGGAAGAAATACTGATCTTATTCTCAGACACCATGGATTATCTTTCTAAAAAATCCTAAGGGCTCTACATTGAGATTTAGTGAGTTTAGCTAATTGTTAGATACATGGACAATATAAAATAATCAGTTGAATCTCTGTATACTAGCAACAAACAGTTGGAAAATGGAAAAAAAAAAAGACCACTTGCAATGCATCAAAAAAACGTGAAACACTTAGGGATAAATTTACCAAAATATATATAGAAAGAAGACCTATACACTAGAAGTACAAAAAACATTGCTAAAATAAATAAGTAGAGAGAGATACTTTTGGGAAACAGTTCTCCCTGGGTCTTTGCATTTCTGTACTTCTTACAAGTGAGGCGGTGACAGCCCTTTTATCTACTTTTTTTTTATTTAAAAAACTTTATTTTTGTCTGCATTGGGTCTTTGTTGCTGCGCACGGGCTTTCTCTAGATGCAGCGAGCGAGGGCTACTCTTCCCTTTGGTGCGCAGGCTTCTCGCTGTGGTGCGCGGGCTTCTCACTTCAAACTGAGCTGTTGTTGCAGAGCACGGGCTGTAGGCACGAGGGCTTCAGTAGTTGTGGCACGTGGGCTTCAGTAGTTGTGGCTTGCAGGCTCAGTAGTGTGACAGCCCTTTTAAACAATTTTTTCCAGGATGTTTGTATAGCATAAAGCCTTGGATGATAGTTAGCGACTCCTGCTGTTGCAGAGGGCAGATTTGCTTATCGTCCAGTATAGTAAAGATAATATCTCCCTTTGGACAAAGGGCAGGTGTGCTTCAGGTTATAAATGATTCAGGTTCCTTAAGCTCAGGGTCCGTCAGTTGTGATGCAAACCTGCCTGCACAGTGTCTACCTGGGCTCCTCTCCACATCTGGCCTGTAGGACTTGGGGGCAACAGGGGAACTGATACACGCATGATACTTATGTTCCTTGCTGTGCTTGGAGTAGTAGGTCCTGTGTCTCTGACCTAGGCCTACTGTGTTGTCTGCCAGTATCCACGAAACAGTGACAGGCTACTTTGTTAGCTTGCAAGGAGAGGCTAAAATCTCAGCCCCCTCCCAGTACTTGACAGTTTAAGCCATAAGAATGGAGTGCTGACAGAGACATGGCTTTTTGAAAGAGGAAGGATGAGGACCTTGAGGGCTGGGCTAGGGGATATTGAAAGACTCTCTGGCATCTGGCAGCGAATGCTCTCACCCAAGTGGTGGGCAAGGGTGGCAGAGGCAAGGGAAGTAGGAGCCCTTCGGTGTTCTACCTCTTAATGAATATTTAGGGGCTGAGCTGAGAGATAGCCTGAATGGTTACCTTGGTTGTTGTACACTCAACTCCATGGCCCTAGCAGAAGGGCGGCGGGGCTGTAGCTGCTGAGTCAAGGAGTCCCCAAAGCTGAGAAAATGATGTTAGAAATGAGGATCTGGGTGGATCGAAAACATTAGAAGTTTGTTTGGTTGGGCTGCAAGTGTGGGGGCTTGAAACTGAAAGTAAATGCACCATCTGACCACTGTCTCCTTCTGTGGGGTGACCTCTCCTCCTCTTACACCTTGACTTCAGGTGTTTTAAGGAGAAAGATGAATAAGTGTTGGGCTGAGGTCTCCCTATCCTTAAGGGAGACCAGAGGCCACACCCATCTGTCTAAACGTGCTGGGGGAACTTCAGGGAGAAGAGGGAGTCAAACTTTTATGGTTGTGTTGGATGCTGACACCCAAGTCATCATCCTACCTTGTTCTATGTGGGATGGAATGTTCAGAGACAACTGACAGGCCTTGGGCAGGGTCCACGGTAGGGAAGGGAAGCTAATGTGGCACTGTGGGTGAGGCCATTTATTGTTGTGTACTGTTATCTGGCTTCCACTGCAGAAGGTATAATTGGTGTTGATGTTTTAAAGAGCCTGTCTGTAAATGCCCTGTTCTGTAAGTGCCAGAGGGGATTCTCCTGATTAGGAAGAGCCGCATCCAGAGAAGTGCTCATACTTTGGAAACCTTAGTGATTCCTCTGAGCTACAAGTTACTGTGACTGATGGTTTTGCAATATATGTAAAGAACTCATCCAACTCAACAAGAAGATAAAAAACCCAATATTTTAAAAATTTGGCAAAAGGCTTTAACACAGGCACTTTTTAAAAGAAGATACACAAATAGATAACATTCATATGAAAAGATGCTCAATGTCTTTAGTCATCTGGGAATTGCAAATTAAAACCACAATGAGGGCTTCCCTGGTGGCGCAGTGGTTGAGAGTCCGCCTGCCAATGCAGGGGACACGAGTTCGTGCCCTGGTCCGGGAGGATCCCACATGCCACGGAGCGGCTGGGCCCGTGAGCCATGGCCGCTGAGCCTGCGCGTCCGGAGCCTGTGCTCCGCAACAGGAGAGGCCACAACAGTGAGAGGCCCATGTACCGCAAAAAAAAACCCCACAATGAGATACCACTTCACACCCACTAGAATGGCTAAAGTTAAAAAGACCGACAAAACCAGTTGCTGGCGAGGATGTGGAGCAGCTGGGAGCCTCATGCATCGCTGGTGGGTGTACAAAATGGTACAGCTGAGCTGGGAAGTAGTTTGGCAGTTTCATGCAAAGTTAAAAATAAACTTACCTTATGACCTAGCAAGTCCACTTCTAGGTATTTATTCAAAAGAAATGAAAATATCTATCCATAAAAAACTTGAATGTTCATAGCAGTATTATTCATAATAGTCCCAAAATGGAAACAGTCCAAATGTCCATCCACAGATGAATGGATAAACAACTTATGGTAGATTCATCCAATGGAATGTTACTCAGCAATGAAAAGGAACTGAGCTGCTAATAAGGGTAAGAATAAAGATAAATCTTAAAAAACATACTGAGGGAAAAGGCTTATACTGTATATTCCTTTATGTCATGAGTACGTAATACATGATTCCATTTATATGAAGTTCTAGAATGGGCAAAAAGGCAACACTAATCTAGTGAGGTGATAGAACAGACCCGTGGTTGTGTAGAGTAGGATTTTGGGGTAGGAGGTTGACTGTAAAGGAGTAGACTTTTTTTTTTCCTCAATTTAAAAATACCAGTGGTAAAAATTTAAGGCAGTAAATTTTGTGATTGAAATTATGAACTTTGTGTCATAAAACATATCCTGAGTTTGAGTTCTGGCTCTATCATTTACTGGGTAGCTGTGTGACCTTGGGCAAATAGTTTAACCTTTCTAAGTTTCCTCATATGTAAAATGGGGGTGATAATTATACCATATTAGAGTTGTCAGGATAGATTAAGTTATGTCAGGATAGATTAAATTAAATTATGCCATCACTGGTAGATAGTAAGTGCTCAATAGTGAAGATTAATTTTGGCAGTAATAGTATTTGTCAATGCTAATAATTATAATTTGCTGTTCATGTCTGTTACTCTTAATCTTGGATGGGTATTGCATGTTTATATTTTTTAAAAAAGGGAAAAGAAAGAATTACTGATTAGGTTCCTATGGATCTTAGACGTTCTCTGGGCAGATAACTTATTTAGTCAGTCATAAATATGATGAACTCTTTAATATGTGAAGATAATGGTACTGACTCCTTTATTGGAAGTTCTGCATGACCTTTGGCTGAAAGCATTGCAGTTCTGATTTGTTCGTAATCTGCTTTATTATTATTACCATTTTTTTTTCTTTATGGGGCCTAGCTGTATACCTCTTAAATGGTTCCCTTTGTGACATTTTGAATGGCTGAGGAGGATCTGAGAATCTTCTTTCCAAATAAAGCTTTCTTTAGTATGAAGCAAATTGATCAGACTTGGGCCAGATAAGCCATTTGACCTACAGTTGCTGAGATGGATTACTCTAGAAACTCCTTTAACATTAATTTGAGTCCTTAATGGATTTTTTTTTCTTCACATCTTTATTGGGGTATAATTGCTTTACAATGGTGTGTTAGTTTCTGCTTTATAACAAAGTGAATAAGTTATACATATACATATGTTCCCATATCTCTTCCCTCTTGCATCTCCCTCCCTCCCACCCTCCCTATCCCACCCCTCCAGGCAGTCACCAAGCACCGAGCTGATATCCCTGTGCTATGCGGCTGCTTCCCACAAGCTATCTACCTTACGTTTGGTAGTGTATATATGTCCAGGCCTCTCTCTCGCTTTGTCACAGCTCACCCTTCTGCCTCCCCATCTTAATGGATTTTTATAAATGGTTTAGTAACCTCATTTTAGGACCTCGCTCACTGGAGATTTGAATATGTTTTCTAAGATCTGTTTATATTTAAATCTTTATTTCCTTGTGCAAATCAGCAGTTTTCAAGTTTGTCGGTAGGAAAAAGAAAAGCAAAACCCATAACTGGGAAGAAGTAAGATGATCAGACATGTCAAAGATTAAAAGGTTTTATTTATGAGCAGGAACTGGAAAGGAGTTTCCTGTAATTATGTGACTTAGTGTTGCCTGAATGCAGTATACTTTTGGGTTGAGACATGGCGAATGAGAATGTTTGCTTTTAGTTTTGTGTCCCATATGACTTATATTTCAGATTCTTGAAGGTTGAGGATTTGTTAAAATGGTTTAACCCAAATATGCATCAGGAATGTCCTTCATTCAGTTATACATCAGTAAAAATTTTTGTTTTGTCATTTGCATTTTTCTTGAATAATTTTTTTTCTTCTCTTAAATCTGTTTTGAAACCTAGTAATTTATTCATTTTTCAAATTTTATTGCAGTGCCTGATCAACTTTCTAGCAGGAGAACGATCATGGAGGTGGTGCCAGCTGAGGTGAATAGTTTGCTTCCAGAGGAGATAATGGACACTGGTATAACTTTAGTGGATGATGATAGTATTGAGGCTGTTATTGTTTCATCCCCAATTCCCATGGAGACAGAACTGGAAGAAATTGTCAACATAAATTCTACTGGTGACTCTACAGCCACGCCCATTTCCACGGAACCAATAACAGTGTACAGTAACCACACTAACCAAGTTGCAGTGAATACCACAATTACTAAAGCAGATTGTAATACCACGGTGAAACCAGCTTTTCCAAGTGGCCTTCAAAAACTTGGTGCTCAGACTCCTGTGACTATATCAGCCAATCAGATTATTTTAAACAAAGTATCACAGACATCTGATCTTAAACTTGGCAATCAGACCCTTAAACCAGATGGACAGAAGTTAATTTTAACAACTTTGGGCAAGTCTGGTTCACCAATTGTTTTAGCACTACCCCATAGCCAACCCCAGGCTCAGAAAGTTACAACTCAGGCCCAGTCAGGAGATGCTAAGTTACCACCGCAGCAAATTAAAGTAGTTACCATTGGAGGGAGGCCAGAGGTGAAACCTGTCATTGGTGTCTCAGCATTGACCCCAGGAAGTCAACTGATTAATACTACAACTCAGCCCTCTGTGTTACAGACCCAACAGTTAAAAACAGTACAGGTAAAAAAAAAAAAAAAAAAAAAAGGGCGCTTACTAGTTAAAATGCATGTTAAATATTAAATTGATTCATAGTTGCGTGTGTAGGGTGATTAAATGCATAGTTGTTACTGAATTCTTTTGAATGTTGCTTTTAGTAATTGTGTGGTTTTTTTTTTTGTAAAGTTTGATATGTCTAATGCTTTTGAAAATTTCTGCCAGAGAACTTAGAACTTAATTTTGGTTAAATTCCAATTTAGTGTATTTATAGCTTTTTACTCATTTTAAAACAATTTTATTCTCAGTAGTAGTTTGAGTACAAGGATGTTCTGCTGGTATAAAGATGCCAGAGTTGATGTCAGGCTGTCAAAAAATCATTCAGACATGATATTTTCAGCTAACAGATGGCCAGAGTCTAGGAAAACTTGCTGCTCCGAGAAACCCTTCAAGCCAGCAGTAGTGCATACCAGCCAGTGTGTGCCTCTTCTTTGGAATTTACTGTCCATTGTATCGCTCATGTTTGCAATGTAGAAAGGCAGTGCCATGTGATGGAAGGTTTAGAATTGGACCAACTGGATTTCAGTCTCTTCTCTGCTGCCCTCCCAGCTGCGGAACTTTGGATAGGCTACTTATTTTCTCTGAGTTTTTGATTTTAGCTGTAAGATGGCTATTTGATCGTGATGAAACACATAAGAAAAGATAACTTTTTCGTATGGTTCTGAAAACATTGAGAATCCTTCAAAATGGTACCCATTGTTAGTATGAATAGAACCCTAAGATAGAAGGTTATAAGAGCATATGTTAAGTATTTTTTCATGCCCAGTAGGTTTTTTTAGGTCACCACTGCTCTTAGAAATACAATGATCCACTTAAGACCACAAATGCATTTCCTGTTTGAAAGAGTTGGCTTTTAGAAAGAAGGCATGAGTTAGAGAAATAAAGCAGGTGTATAAGGAAGGAGGAAGGTTTGGGGAACTGTCCACTCTCAGCTGATATTAGAAATATTGTTTTGGTTATTATGTTGGCAAAATAGTTAGAAACTTATTTTTCACAGGCTTTTTATTTAAGAACTTCATAAGATTTCTCAAACTTTATAATTTGTCCATGTCCCTTCTGCCACTATTAAACATTTAGTGCTCTTTCTTGTTCATTATCATCTCTCACTTAATTCTGACTTCCTTTTACTTTTTTTGGTGAGGATCTCTTGAATGAGATATCCTATCACCATCAAGCACCTTGTCCTCAGCTTGTTTTTTAATCAGTTTTAAAACTTGTTTTTATTGGTTTACCAGAGTTTATCTGGCTTTGGGGATATGGATCACAACCATGTTCGCAAGATACTGTAAATGTAAATCAGAATGTCATTTTTTTTTTCATTTACAAGAGCAATGTATACATACTATTTGTAAGACCAGTTTACTTGTATCCACTAGTTTTCTACTATAATCCCCTAAGTAACAACAATAAAAACAAAGACTGGGGTCTAATTCTTATAACTTCTCTTCTTGTCCTTACTTTTATAAAATCTGATTCTATTTATTTAAAAAGACTGCTATTTAAAAACAAAAACAAGGGCTTACCTGGTGGCGCAGTGGTTGAGAGTCCACCTGCCGATGCAGGGGACACAGGTTCATGCCCCGGTCCGGGAGGATCCCACATGCCGCGGAGCGGCGGGGCCCGTGAGCCATGGCCGCTGAGCCTGCATGTCCGGAGCCTGTGCTCCGCAAAGGGAGAGGCCACAACAGTGAGAGGCCCGCGTACCGCAAAATAAATAAATAAATAAAATAAAAACAGAAACAAAAGAAACCCCATTTAGAATATTGTTCTACTTGTCCAGTTATTTTTAGGCAACTCAAATCTTTTCAACTCAAGAGTAGCCTATAAAGCTCTGAAGCACTGAAGCACAGAAAAAACAAACAAAAAGCTACACATCTATCTGTATCCATTTTGGGCAACAGAATATTTGGTTTACTTTTACATGGTGTGTATGATCCCCTGATTTTTTTCCCAGACGGTTCTCAGCATTGTCTTAAGTTTAATCAGAGTATTGAAACTTATTAGGGTGTGGACAATAGGAAAGGGTGGAAGAAGGAGACCCATCTCTAAAGGTGACAGTTGAGGCCAGAGGCAGTAACAAAGAGGTATAGTTACACTTAGTTACAGATACATAAACACTTTCCTGTGTTTCTTGTGCATAGTATATAAGAATAATAGATAATTAGCCGTATGGAACAACATAACTCCTTATTAGTTCCTGAATCTGTATAACACAGTGCCCAAAATTACCTGCATGTATTATTTGATCACATCTTTGGCAGTCTTATTTGTAAATTTCCTTCTTTGATTCATTTTTGTCTTAATCTGCTAATTAGATACATTTGTTAAAAAGATCCTTTGGGCTTCCCTGGTGGCGCAGTGGTTGAGGGTCCGCCTGCCGATGCAGGGGACACGGGTTCGTGCCCGGTCCGGGAAGATCCCACATGCCACAGAGCGGCTGGGTCCGTGAGTCATGGCCGCTAAGCCTGCGCGTCTGGAGCCTGTGCTCCACAACGGGAGAGGCCACAACAGTGAGAGGCCCGCATACTGCAAAAAAAAGAGAAGATCCTTTATGCTCTGTTTTATTTAATAAAGTAAATTTGTTCTAGGGTAGTTTAGAATTCATAATGCAAAAAGCCTGGTTCCTTGACAGAATTGGAAATCCTTATTTTCAGCACTGCTACACTAAAGAAACAAAACCACAAGGACAAGTTGAGATTGTTCCTTTGAATAATTAATGTGCTCTTGGTCGTATTTACATTTTTTTTCCTGGTTGGTAAGTATTCATATAGTTTTATGATTGTGAAAATTAGTTAAAAATGGGGAAACACTTTAAGTTCCCAAACTCTATAGCTAAGATTATCTATTTCGAGACACAAATTTCCAAGAATATCAATACCTCTACCTCTTGAGATTCTTAATACTAAGTCAATAGACAACATATTCTAACTTATTTTAGAGTTTTAGGCCTGTAAATACACTTGGGAAATATTTTCTCTGTGTGTCTCCCAAATTGCATCAGTTTTTAAAACTACAATTATGGATTTATTTGGGTATATCAGAGTTTTACAAGCTGGATATTTTTTAATATATTAGGGAATCTCTTTGGTTCGTTTTTTTAAAAGGTGATTTGTGTTTCCTTTACATTTTGTTTTGTCAGTAATATGTTCTGAGTGTAAGAAAGTAATATATTCTAAGTGTAAGAAAATGTTATTAAGTTTAATTTATAGTTTGAGCACAAAGCTGGTATTTACTTAGTTCTGTAATCAGTTACAGCTTCTGGTATGTTTTGTCGTTTAAGTTGGTCATGTTTGTTCATTTTGAGTTATTATTTCCAATAATAGTACTTTCAGGGCCTCAATTTTCAATCTGCCAAAGATAAAATTAGTATTTAATGTCCTTCCTGTTCTGAAAGTCCATGATTTTTATCATAAACTGGTAAAAAAGTCTATGATTTTTATTATTGCTAAAGGCTATGATTTTTTATCATTGCTAAATTTCTGCTTCTGACTTTTAGAAAAAGCTGTGCCTTGCATACATTGCAATTTCAGTATAAGGACATTGGTAACTCTACCTTCCTTGACTTGTGGAGAATTTTAGTTTAGGGCAACAGTGTACCGTGTATAATGTAAAAGCAGAGATGAATAAAACATAGACCCTCCCTTCAAACAATTTATAGTCTAGTAAAGTGTATTTTAGTAAATAATATTTCAGAGGCTTCACCTTTAGAATAGTCTTTGTTTTGCCAAACATGTCTCTTTGTATCCTAGGGTGTTAACTTGTGCAGTTCCTTATTTATCTGCCCCTGATATATAGATCTAAAGTTGAAGATATAATCATGAGCCTATCCTTTATGTGTATTTATATTTTGCTTCCAGGGGCCAATGAAATTATATTTATCATTTGCACTATGCTTTCTTAACGTACTCTACTCCATCTTTTTATTATTGAATAATTAGCTATTTGGAAAAGGATATTGCTGTGCCATATTTGTGTTTCATTATTATTATTAAATGGTTATTTTAAACATTACTATTGAACATTAAACATTATTTTTACAAATTAATTTGTTTTTCATTATATGCATATGTCCCAGAGACTAAAATAAGGATTTGCAATAAAATCCAAAGGTATTGTTGTATAATGGCCTAAGGATGTGATCATATTAGTATTTTGGTGAATGGCTGCATTTTAAATGTTTTTAACGTCAGTACTTAGATATGTTTTGTTAAATGAGCTGGTTTCACATGTACTTCTGTATATCAATCTTGTCTAATTTTGATTGAATAGGTGTTTTATAGAAACAATGGTCTTTATAGTTATTTATATATTTCAGATTGCGAAGAAACCTCGAACTCCAACCTCTGGTCCAGTAATCACGAAGCTGATCTTTGCAAAACCAATTAATAGTAAAGCAGTTACAGGACAGACAACTCAAGTATCACCACCAGTCATTGCAGGTTATATTTCTTTATAGTTTGTTTAGCTAAATATTTACCTTCCTTTTAGGTTTAAAAAAGGCTGTTCTACTACCTTGAAATGTTTTAGTGCTTATTACTGTAAATCAGACTGGTTAGTAAGAAATGTTACACCTATTAAATGTGTCCTTCAAGCAAAATGCCTTATCTCAAAATCAGTCCATTACTTTAGCCTCTTTGGTTTTTGGTATACCTTGAAAGTAGTGAAGTCTCAGACTCTGATAATACTAGCTAACATTTACATAGTGTTTGCTATGGCCTCCACACTATTCTTAGCTCTTTACATAGAGTGACATATATAATCCTCTGGCAATCCTATGCGGTAGGTACTAATAACATCCCCATTTTGCCAGTGTGGAAACAGAGGCACTCAGCTAGTAAATGGCCAAGTTGGAATTTGAATCCAGCTAATGCTAGAGCACATGTTAATAAGTCTGTTAGGCTTAAAGTAATATATGTGAGAGTATAGTATTTCATGGTTTCTGTTTGAATTTTTGGTTTCCGTATTTTAATATTCTCTGTATGCAGTTCTCTATGAAACAGAAAATTATCACAATGATAATAATTACTTAAGTGAGAACAGAATTTTAGTTATATTACTTTTACCAGCAAATTCCTCAGCGTGGCCCAATTATTTTATTATATACTTTTAAGATATGTCATCACTAATAACACCTCAGAAATCTTGACTTTGAGTATTTCACTCCTTATTATTCTAGTTGATCTGCCTTTGTACTTCCAATCTAGTAATTCTTTCACTTTGAAATCTCTGATCCATTAACTCTTCCACTTTCTCATTAATAATCCCTTTCCAGTCCTCAAATTCTTCCTTACTCAGCATGGAGTTCATGACCCATCACTATTGCTCCCTGAAAACACCATTGATTCTCTTTTCACTCTCTCTTTCTATAATGGCTTGGTTAAGTCCACCTCTCTTATTTCTTCTTGCCTGGCAAGCACCTCCGTACTGCTGGAGAAAATCACACAGCTGTGGTGACTGGTCTTTAATTCAGAGCTATACTAACATTACTCCTTTCACCATTTAGGAGCTCATTTTAAATTTCCATTGTTCTAATAGCTTATGGAAGCACCTCTGGGTGGTAGACTTTGACTAGAGACTTTCAAATGCTAATTACCCATTTCTAGAATGTGTATTCTTGGTGAAGGTACTTCAAATGTTAATTAACCATCCCTGGGATATGTATTAAAACCATCTCCTACTGTCTTTGATAAATTTACAGACAGTATAGCAGTAGGCAACTCTGAAATCAGCGGCAGTGAAATGATCATTTTCCTAGGCTTTGAATTATAATATATAGGGAGGCTTCTCTGCTTAGCAAGTGAGAGAAAGAATGGGGAGATTGTAGTTTGAGGGCAGTGTTGGGTGAGTGAATGTTCTCTTTTTCTTTTGGCCTTCATTAGAGATTTGGGATGGTATAGGATGCTCGTATCTAGAGGGCTGTCATGGGAGATAGGTGTGGCCCCAGAGGAAAAACTGGAAAGGGTTTGGATTTCGAGCTGCTTCAGGAAGTGGGCTTTAGTTGGCTGAAAGTGAGGAAGGCTTGGATATGTTGATGATAAAGGGACCACCAGACCCTTAGGAGGTTGGGTGAGTAGAGGTGGTTTACGAGGAGGGGTATCTCAGTGCCATGTTCTCTACTGCTTTTGAGTTTGAGAGAATTCCTTAAAACTTTTAATTATGTAGGGGCGAAGGGGAGCTGTATGCTAAAGAATTGTGGTTTTGCAGAAGTGTCTGAGTGAATATTTGGTAATGTCAAGATTTCACCTCTCTTACATTTGACTATAATGGATGTCATTGCTGGGTCGTTGGGTGATTTACAGTGTGTTGCACACTAATCATAGCTTCACCTTTTAATTACAGACAGACTTATTAGCCCTCCCAAAATACATAGAGATAGACTTCTATTAAATTTCACTAGAATTGTTGGCATTAAGTTCAGTTTGGAGGGATAATTTCTACTGTTAACTAATAGTTTGTAGCTTTTTAAATTCATGTAAGCCAAATTTTAAACCACCAAAGTAGCTCTCCTGCTGAATTGTCTTATTACAAGGAGGTTCCATTATCTTTATATTATAGCTAAGGATCTTTCAAATTACATTTAGACTGCTTTTTAATGACCTTTGGGCTTTTCATGGAAGATGGATATCTTTTTCTGTCTTTTGATCAAGATGAACTTAGTGTTTGTATAAAATCAATTTTTCTAAAATGCAAATATGATTTTGTCACACCCTTGCTTAAATTTTCTTGGCCACATCCGTTTCTTGACCTTAATCCTTCAGGAATAAGTTCAGATGCCAGAGCTTTCTTAGCATTAAAGTCATTTATTATATAACATATACCTTTTTCATTTTCACCTTGTATTAGCTCCAGACCTACTGATGTAACTTATTTCAAGAGATCACCAAATGGCCCATGTTCTCTCAGAACTTAGGCCCTTGGCACTGTTGCTTTTACCTGAAATGACTTTTTTTGCTTTCCTTATGGCTGACTCATCCATTTTATCTTTGGATTATCTCCACCTGTCTTGGAAGTTTTTGATCCTAGGTTTAGTTAGGTTCTCTTTTCTCTGACCATCTCCTATATATTTCCATAAAACTTGGTTATACCTACCAAATACTTAACTTAAATCAGACTTCTGTTAAATTTCACACTGGCTTTTAATGTTTCCATTAGTCATGGTATATTGTAATACTTGGTTTCCTTGTCTGTCTGTCTCCCCTATTGTCTGTCTGTCTCCCCTATTACACTTAAAATTTTTCTTAATAGTAATTTTGGATTTTGTTTGCCATCTAGTTTTTAAAGATTATTTTTTTAAAAATTATGATAAATACACATAACATAAAGTTGACCATTTTAACCACTGGTGGCATTAAGTACATTCATGTTGTTGTGCAACCATCACCACTGTCTGTCTCTAGGACTTTTTTCGCATTGCAAAGCTAAATCTTTGTATGCATTAAACAATAACTTCCCAATTCCTTCCTTCCCCCAGCCCCTAGCAGAGATTGTCTCTATCAATTTGACTTTTCCATGTATCTCGTATAAGTGGAATCGTACAGTATTTGTCCTTTTATGACTGGCTTTTTATGACTCTCCAATAGCTAGCACAGTTTCTAGCACATAGATGTGGTTCGGTGAATGTGTATTGTTGAGTGAATATGTGTATCATGGAGGCAGTGTGGTGTATGGGAGGAGCTATTAGGAGACTTGGGTTTTAGTTATGGGTCTTCTATTCATTTTCTCTGTGATCTTGGGTAAATATATTTTCTGTTCATCTTACTCCTTTCTGTAAAATGTTGATAACAATCACTTCACATGACTTTTGAGATGGTTAAATGAGGTACAGAGGTCCTCATTATCAGGTCCTCATTATCAGAGCTCCCAAGGTACAAGGTTGCTGCTATAGCAGAGCAAACTCCATCAATGTGAAAATATTCACTAATGAATTAATCTCTTATAGAATTAGTCCTGGCTCAGATAAGCTAGCTCTCTGCCCCCAGCCTGTCCCATCTGTAGCTTTTTGGTTATGTCTCTTTTGATTCTTGGAGAATACCTGACAGTAGAGTGTAAAATGCTTTGCAAATTGATTTCAAGGTGAAATTGTATGACTTGTATACTTTCTTGAATCTGTCTGCAGAGTCAAGGATAAACAGGGGTTTGGAGATTAATCAGGAGAAATGCTATCTGGATGAAAAACAAGTGGCCCTTCAAAGAAGAATAATTTGAATTTTAAAGGATATAGAGGGTTCTTGGGAAAATTGATGAAATCCTAAAATATTTTGGCAGAAATAATCTTCTGTATCATCCTGTTGCGCCCATCAGAGTCTGTCATTGTAATGTCATTACTAATTTTCAGAAGAATCCTCTCCCTCTCAAACAGTTCATTCTAAGAGATAGTATAGTTGTAATTATAAACTGAATTTTTGTTAAATATAAGCAAAAAAAGTTTTAGTTTTAGGGGTTTTTGTTGTTGTTATTTACAGTGAAATTTTTGTCCTTGTTTTAAATGTAATTCACTTTAACTGGCATTTTTCTGGTATCAGTTATCCTCACTCAGGAATAGAGGATTTTTATATGTATGTTTTCTGAAATGTATGTAATGCTTAACAAATAAGAAATTATAGTAATAACTGTAAATGATGAGCATTTTATGAAAATGTGTCTTTATTGGTAGTTTCTTTTCTTAAAATAATGGTTGTTGGGGCTTTAGGCTTATCCCAGAGGTATTAGTTTTGGAAACCAGAACAGACAAACATGCTACTTCAGGCAGGCTCCACGTTTGAGGGTGCCCTTCTAAAAATATTTGATATAGATTCATTTAGTTTATATGGAATTGACTTATTTGTTATGATGTAATTCAGCCTAAAAAAACCCTATCAAAACTCTCAACTGAAATTCATTAAGGAATATGTCAATAATATAAAATGTAATCGTGTACTAAAAGAAATTGAAAAAATATATTTAAAATATTTTAAAAATTCATGTGTCAGGCAAAACTTGATTCATCTTTAAAAAAAAAATACGTATACTGTCACATTGTTATTAGAAAAAAAAACAGCCCTGAAACTCTTACATGCTAGTTCTCTATTTTTGTTTGAAGGGTAAGACCCTTCTTTTTTTTCTCTTTTTCCCTTTTTCTCTTCCTCTCTCCCTCTCTCTTTCATCTCTGACTGTATCTGTAAGTTAAATCATAGCATCTAAAGGGATTTTAGAGATAATTTAGTTATCTACCCTCTCTATTTCTTGAGTGCTTGGAGTTCCTCTTCAGCCAGTGGATTTGATTATCCAGCATCTGTTTTGAACACCTTCAGTGAGTAGAAACTCACTCATAGAAACAGTCATTTCATTTGGAAATTTTTGTTAGAAGTTCTTTCTTACTGCTTAACTGAAAATTTTCTGTTTATATTAGTGTGTGCATCTGATGGATACAGAGTGGTTCTAATCCTTCAACTTGACAGCGTGGATCAATCAGGACAGTCTTGGTTCTCTGCCATAATAAACAGTCTTTAAATCTCAGAAATTTAAGAAAACACAAATTTTATTTTGTATTCATACTTCATGGTTATCTACATGTCTACTGTGGGTTAGAAAGGGGGCTATTCTCATCATGGTCACTCAAGGACCCCGGCTGATGGAGGAGCCACCATCCAGACGCAGTGAGGAAAAGAGAGCTTTGGAAGGTCTTGCATAGGCAGTAAATGTTCTGACCCAGAAATGACACACATCACTTCTACTCATAATTTGTTGGTCAGAACTAGTCATATGGCCCTAATCTAACCACAGGGAGCCGCAGGGACGGGTAGGAAGGGCAGTCCTGCCGTGTGCCCAGAATGGAAGGGGAGGAGGTCGGCGCCAGAATGCTGAATGGCAGCATCACACAGTCTTTCAGGAATTTGGAGCTGTGTCATGTCTTTGTATTCCTCTCTCACCTAGGACAAAAATTCCTAATATTTCAACTCCTTGTGATATGATTTCCAATTCTGTAAGCCATCCAGACACACTATAGTTTTTCTGTTTTGTTCCTGAAGGATATTTCCAGAAGGGAACACAGCATTCTTGTTGGAATCTGGCCAGGACAGCTAGAAGCATTTTTTTTTCCCCTTTTTGGCAGACTAAAATGAGACAGTATTAAACCAGTGTTCAAGTTAGTTCAGTGACTATCTGTTTTATAGATGTGGACTTAAATTGTATCCTGAATGGTTTCAGTTCAAAGAGAAGAAGCTGAGGTATAGTAGAGAACAGAGACTGAAGTTTTAAGACTTGGATTCAAGTCCTAACTTTGAGGAGCTGTGTTACACAGGACTTGTTCCTTAGTTGTCCTGAGCCTATTTTCTTATAGATATAACCTAACAGTATAGATGAGGGAATTCCCTGGCAGTCCAATGGTTAGGACTCTGCACTCTCACTGCCGAGGGCTCGGGTTCAGTCCCTGGTTGGGAAACTAAGATCCCACAAGCCGAGCGGTGTGGCCAAGAAAACAGACAAAACACAAAGCAGTATTGATGAGAATGTGAGCAGAAGTGTTTTTGTGGACTTTCATAAGATGGTATTAAGATACTAAGTGTTACTAAGAAGCATTGTTTTGTTTCCTTCTGCCTAGGTTCACCATAGTTCATTAGACCTACTTAAGTGTTTCAGTTCATAAGTGGCTGCGTATGAAATATTGAACATATATATACTACAGTCCTTGTGGGTATAAATCATCATCAAATACATTTTTATACGATTATTGAAAAGAGTCAAACTGATGTGCTGCCTCTCATTTGCAGGTAGGGTTCTTTCACAGTCTACTCCCGGGACTCCATCAAAGACCATAACAATATCTGAAAGTGGTGTTATTGGATCAACTTTAAATTCTACAACACAGACACCAAATAAAATAGCCATCTCACCTTTGAAATCGCCAAATAAGGTAAAAAAAACAATTAGCCACAAAGGCCAAGTATTGTGGTTAATGACTTTATTTTCTTACTAGTCACTTCAGATACTTCAGTTTTAATATATTCCCAAAGAGTTAATAGGTATTTGGTGAATATCGGATTAATTTAGTAATCAAGGATGTACGACAGATAAAAAACTTACCCTGAACGCATAGTTACACAGTTATCATTTTGCATGCTAAGATTATTTTAATGGCCCTTGTGAATGTGGGTACAACATAAATCTTCTGAACGAGGTGCATTATGTAGGTGTTTGGTTCCTCTTCAGTTAATACTTGTGCAAAATTATTGTCTTTGGGTCAGTCACATATATAGTGACTCTATAAATATAAAATGTTAAATGTAACTTTTTTAAAAATAAAATATTTGGTGCCTTCTGCTTAAGCTGTCCTTGATTTTATGGAGAGCTGAGCTTTTGCTGAGTAACAGAGTAGCCAGAGTACTAGAAATTGCCATCAAATGCTGGTGATCATATTAATTCGGGTTTTTTAGGCTTAACACAGCTCATTCAGAGCATCTGAAAGCTTGTCTTAATTTATTTTCTTTTTAAGGGGGCAAAGTACCTATCATTTTAGGTCAAGTTAAGTAGTCTTAGCTCACTTTCCTAGAACATACAGATGTCATTATACCAGCATAACATTTTGGAACAAGTATGCTTTAAAGGACATATTCAGGTGGAAAGCCAAGCATCATTATTCTGTAAGGTGCCACCCTTGCGATTCTGGAAACACACTGCCCTTTGTACCTGCCTTTTTCCTTAATTCGCTACTATTCATGAGTAGAACAAACATTAAACGTTTGCCTTACATTTTTTAAAAGTCTAACTGTTGGTTTCTGTTTTAATGAGACTTGACTACAGTGTATAAATACGATGTCTGTTACAGTTTATTAAAATGGGATTCTACCTGCATGATAATACAGATAATTATCCACTTAAATGGAATGAATTCAACAGACATTTGAGTGCTCACTATGTGCTCTGCATAGTGATAGGCACTGGGGATAAAAGCATGAATAAGATAAATTTTAAATTTCAGGTAGTCCAGTAGGGAAGTTAGAGTTAAACATTAAGAATTGCCCTACAGAATCATAACGGTCACAGGTGGATTGAAGAGCCCTGTTGTGTCTGTCAGAGAAGGTTTATACAAAGGGTGCTATTCCTGAAAGGTCTTAACCTTAAAGGTGGTTCAGGCCTTAGCTATGGGTGAGCATAGGAGGTTTCCAAATTGAGATAATACTTTACACAAAAGTGTAAAAGCATGGCCCCGTGTAAAAGGGTAGTGTAGGGAGCTACCTTGCTTTGGTAGTGTGAGAGCCAAGGGTGCTAAAGTTAGATGGAAGGTTTCGTTACCCTCAGGGAAGTTTGGATTTTATTGTTCTTAAAGACTTTCTGTGACTTCCCATTGCTTCTAGGACAGTGGTTCTCAACCTTGTCTGCACGTTGGAATCACCTGGGGAGCTCTAATAAATACCAATGCCTGGTTCTTATCCCTGAAGACTCTGTTTTAATTGGCCTGGAGTTTGGCTTGGTATCAGGATTTTTTAAGGCTAAGTGATTCTAATGAGTAGCCTAGATTAAAGACAACTGCTCTAGGATAATATGAGATTTGCATTTCAAAAAAGATTACTCTGTAGCATAATGAAAGATAGTTTGGAGGAAGGTAAGCCTGGATTCTAGAAGAGACCAGTTAGGTTAGTTATTCTCAACCTTGGCTACACTTTGGAAGCACGTGGAGACCTTTCGAAAAAACTCATGGCTGACCTCCACCTGATCCCACTTAAATCAGCCTTTAGGCTGGGGCCTAAGTATTAGATTTAATATTTTAAAATGTTAAAGTATAGGCCAGGGTAGAGAATCACTAAATTAGATTATTTTAGTACTTCACATTTGAGCTAGACTAGTAGCTAAGGGGCTAGGAAGAAGAGATGTGTTGAAAGAGGTGTAAGACATAATGACTGGATGTCAGGGTATAGGGAGGGGAGAACCTAAGGGATGACTCCTAGACTCCTAACCTGAAGAACACAGTAGTGGTGGCACTGTGGGCTGGTATGTGGGCTATATCTGATGGCATACAAATAAGAACTAGCTTTATTTTTCTCTTATCCTTGACTTTAGCCATGTCATGTTGAATCTTCCTTCTCTGGCTCTTGACAAGACGTCGTTTTTACTATAAGAACAAGCCTTATTTTGATGATTAAATTCAAAGGTATGAAAAGTCTACTCCAAACCTTACATCTAGTTGAATGGATGTAACTCAGACCTAATCATGACTCAGGGACCATGCAGTAAAGGAGTATTATCTGTTTCTTCACTCTTCTACTTCTTCCCTCTTTCTGCTTTTGGCTTCTGATTGGAAGGAAAATTAGAAGAGAAAGGACAAAGTTTTATGTGACTGGGACTGTTGTAATCCAACTGCCAATGTTCTCTGTGTGACAGGTGTCCAAGTGTGGCCTTTTACAGTTGTGCATTTAGGATGGTTTTTGGAGGCCCCCGTGGTATGCCCACATTGCCCAGGTCCCTTTTATGGTGCACACTCCAGCTACCGTTGGCAGGCCTCTAACTATCTCTTCCCTCCTGTAGTCTACCTACAGCCTGTTACTGCTGAGTCTCCTTCCTCAAGAAGGCACATGTCTTTGGCCTACCGAGATGCTTTAGCCCTTCTGCAGCATCTGTTGTATTTAGCTAATGGGAAACCTATAGAACTCAGTGGTAGAAATGTAGCTCATCTAACTGCTGTCCTCTGAGTCCTTGCTCTGCCGTTTTGAAGCTCCATCCAACTTCTTGCTTTCAGAATTCTCCAGGCTGGGACCAGTTTCTGTGTTCACATATGGCCTAAACTCCTGGGGATATGTCAGGTTCTTTTGGGCTTTTAAGAGTTTCTTTATCTCAGTATGTTGCCAGCCAAAGATTCAGATGTCAAATCCCTTCTTGTAGTTATCACCCAGTCTGTCCCAGAGGTTTTCTTGGAGAACCCCTGCTTTTGTTCTCACTAAGGTTGTAAAGCCCTAGCATTCTCTATGTTTATGAATTCACTTCTGTTTCTAATCTTGTTTTGTTTCATTTTCAATAGGCGGGAGGTGGGTGATAGAGATGCTGTCTTTTAGCAACTCTGGCATGGATGTTCTTTTTAGAGTGTAGGGGAGTTTATCATTTGTAGTTCTCAGCTTTGGGGGTTTCACTAGAGCCAAATTTTAAGATCGGAGAAAACATCCCATTATCCTTTTATACTAGAGAGGAAATACAGTAGGAATGGGTGGTTTAGGCAAAGAGATATTGTTCTTGGAGATGTTTGTCATGGAAGTACCCACTGCTTGTCTAGAGGAGGATGTCTGTTAGGAAGCTGAATATAGGCAGTGGCTAAAACTATGTGTACAGATGAACCTAACCAGGGAGCATGAGGTTTTGTGCAGAGTGAAAAGAAAAGCAGGACTGAACCACAGAATATTAAGAGTTAGTAGAAGAAAAGAGCCAGTGGAAGAGAAGGAATGATAAGAGAGGAAGTATGAGAAACTTAACAAAATGAGAAGGGAGGATGGTTTCAAGAATGATGCCGGTCAACAATTTCAAATGTCATAGAAATGTCAATTAAGAAAAAGTCTAAAAAGTAAGGATTTGCTGGAGATGTCCTTGCTCCCATTAATCAAAAGTGGTCAAAAGGAAACCTCAATCACTCATTCTTCCTTCCCTGCCAGCACTCACAGTCTGACCACCATCTGCCTTGAATCTGCTGGGACTTCTCTCATTATTTGTTCCTGTTTATACAGGGTGCCATCAAAAGGCCCAGACTCCTAGATTACCTTTCATTTCCCACATCTAATCTCCTTGAAGTTGTCAGTATCTTCTGTCCCGTTACCCACCACCCATCCCCAACTCGTAAAATCCTTCCACTGTGCCCTATTTGGAGTTCATAAGCAAAATAATCTCCCAGTCCTCAACCTCTTTGCTGAATATTCCTTTTATTTTCTTACTCTAATGGATACCTGACTCTTCCCAATGGTACTGCTTCCCCTGCAGACCTCTTAAGTGATGACTCCTTCAGCCTGTTATACCATCGAGCCTGGAAGGGGGCCTAGGGAATAAGTGTCTTCCTGGCTTGTTCTCATTACAATTTGCAGACTATGCTCACTCTCTTCTCCATCTTTGAAACTAATGTTAACCAGGTTCCTTGTGGAAAGTCGGGCACGTCTAATATCTTCTCAATTTACTTGATATTGTAGTTGTCTTTTGGGGCAGATTTCTTCCATTATATTTATTTTCTAAAGTAATCCTCAGTTTTCTTAAGTATTTATTAGACATGCAAATAAGCATTAAGCTAATGAAAGCATGATTCGGCAAGGTTTGCTTTCTTTTTACTTTAGATTTTAGTAATACTGTTATCTTCTAGTTTCGGACATTTAATGTGTCTTTTGTCCTGTAATCTTATTGTTGTGTTTTAGTATTTTTTTTTCATGGCATATTTTAGTTTATTTCAGAAGTACAATGGTTTGACATTAAAAAAAATCTATCCATTTAATTTACAACATTAATAAGAAAAAATAATTACATGACAATCTCATTACATGCAGAAAAATTCTGAAAATAGCCAGCCTTCATTCTGGTTAAAACTACTTGAAACAGTAAAAATAAATACTTTTGTAACTTGAAAATGAGGATGAATACATCAAACTTCATGTAATGGTGAATGTTGAACAAAGATACCCACTTTCAACACTTGTTCAGTTCCACTGCAGCTCTGAGTTAATGCAGTAAGGCAAGAAAAAGAAATAAATGGCGTAGAGCTTCAAAATAAAGTAAAAATTTGTCACAATTTACATATTACATTATAATATATGTGTAAAATATAAGAATCTGCTATTGAACTATTAGAATTAATGTATAAATTTAATTGATGGTTATACATGTGGTCAGTATAAAAAAAGATGATTAGATATGTGGTCAGTATAAAAAAATCAATATTTATAGACTTTTACA